GTAATCACACTTCCTGCTTGAAAGATAAAGAGGAACACCCAGAGCTAACATCTACCGCTGGTGAAAAGTTAAACACACATCTGGATTCATGTTTGGATTTGTCCTAAAACATGGTGAGACTTTCATTTAGTCTGTAATTATGAATACACAAGATCAATTTAAAATAATAAATAATAAAAGCAAATGCCAATACTGAATGCATGCACAATACAACATTCACAGCATATACTCGAGACGCAAAGTCTAGAAATATGTGTTTCATTTCATTTTAATGTTACTACGAGCATGTTGCCCGGGGCAACGTGTCAAGGTTTTTATCGCTAAACATTTAGTAATATAGATCTGGTTTTTCTGGTTTTTCCTTTTTTAGTGGAAAGATGCAAGAAGGGTGGGATCAGAAAGTTTCCCCCAGTGATGTGTTCAGGAATTTTAATTGGTCTTAATTGCTGTACTATTCGTCCCAACCAGAACATTCACTTCCCCAGAACAAACGTGTGCGAGCATCTGTGCTGCAGACAGGACAAAGAGGTAAGTCTCTACAAGATTTTGCCATGGATTTTCTGTAGCAAGTGCCCCTTTTCTGTTATTATTTATTTACTTATTTAATTACCAGAATATTCCAGTTATGCAGATGATCTTAGTTAGAAAGGGTCTTGAAAGACTTGCTTAGATGGATCAGATGCTTGTTTTGACACCACATTTAGTCTATATAATAATAATTCGTATTATTTTTAAGATATTTCCTATTACATGACCTTCTAAGCCCTCCAAATCCTAGCAAGATTTTATAAAGTCCATGCCAGCTGACTCTACTAAACTAATGACTTCTACCCCATGACCTTCTACTACCAATAAATGAATCGCTTAATCTGAAACTTTAGTAGCCCACCCCTGTGCACTGGGTTTATTCTTAATCAGTGTAACTCACTGCATGCGGCCTACTTCAAAATGTTATAGACTCTAACATACATGCAATAAGAGACACGTTTTGCTGCTACCCCAAATTAACTTTCTGGGACTCATATTCCCAAGGCAGTTTCTGATATAATACAGATTTGAGCCCCACCATCTCTCCATAGAGACATCTGTGACTGACCAGAGCCTGACATACCAGTGTAAATGCCTTCAACTCCTTAACTGCACGCAGAAGCCTTTCCCTGTGATAAGAATCCTCTTCCTGGATATCTGAAGTCCTTTTGTTTTTCTAAAGATAGAAAGGAAAAGAAAAATCTGAAATATCAAAGATCAGGGTGCTTTGATGGATTCCATCCTTAGTAGCAAATGTTGATCAGCTATTTCTGAATGACCGCCAGCGAGTAGACCATGACAGTAGAGATTGAGTTGTTTGGGCCACTGTGCTTTTCTGCCTGATCATCAGCCAGATAAGTGTGCATAGATACAGGTGTAACGTACATGTTTTGGGGTTTGTGGCCGTGTGTTATGGTTTGGGATTCTAAATAGCACTGAAACAACTGACATTATGGGAATGTGCTAATACTGATCCATGTGCTATTCCGCACCCCTCGCCCCCATCATCTTTCTTATTTTACTCTTTCTGCTATCCTGAAAGAAAAGGCATAAAAGAAAGGTATCTACACTGTTTGCCATTTTATTCACCGTGGTGCGTAACTCTGCTATTTTGTCACACTCTCCAAAGCCCTGAGGCTTGACTTACACATGATGGGCAGACAGATTACAGTGAATGTTAATGAGGGTTATTTAGCTGTCTCCACCACTTCCCCTAACACAGACAACAGGATACTCTGGTCAGTGTGCCACACGCTTTTAATCTCTTCTCTTTTTTTGGGTGGGCAGATCAAAGACTGGACAGAATGGAAGTGAAGGTTTTTGTGGATGGTGTCCCACGGGTGGTATGTGGAGTAACAAGGGAAACGACATGCCAAGAAGTGGTCCTAGTGCTGGCTCAAGCATTGGGTGCGTACACAGCATGCTGGACATTTTCTACTTGGTGACAAAGGTTATTTTGATATGCTGACGAATCCTCATTCTTTGCTTGTTCTTTAGGTCAACCCGGGCGCTACACGTTGCGGGAGAAATTTAAAGACTTTGAGCGGTGCATGACACCCGAGGAACGTCTTCTGGAGACCCTGGAGAGGTACGGTGAGCAGTCCAAGGAGGTCCAGCTCAGTCTATTCCACAGAGGAGCATCTGTTTTGGATGAAATGGGCAAAGCAAAAGTAGGACGATATCAACCCTGTCCGCCATTAAGGAAGAAAGATGTAGGTTCCAGAATGAGGAGGAGTAGTGGCTCAATGAGCCTGCATCGCCAAAGCTTGCCAATGTTATCCTGCTTAAGAGAAGAAGGTGAGAAGAAGCAAGAAGACCTGAAAAGGCCTAAAAGAAAGTCTCTGACACTCATGGAGGAGGCCTGGGACTGGCTGGAAAGTCTGGGGAAAGGAAAGGTCTATAGCACTGCCCATGATAAGGAAAGCAGTAAGTCGGATAAAAGGAACCGCATCTCTTTGGATTTCTCACTCACTGTGGAAAAGGATAACTCTGGTAGCATTAGCAGAGGCAAAGGGAAAGGTCAAAAAGCTTTGAAGTCAGAACTGGACCATCAAACCTCCTGCTGCATAGGAAATCAGACAAGGGGTAAAGAGAGCAAACACTCTAAAAAAACAAATGAGGCAAAATCCAACCTGTGTGGTTCAACTGCTGCCAGGACCGAGGAGGAGAAAAATACTCTCAGAGAAACCATAATATGTCAGCTCAAGTCCTTGCAGGACCTACAGGCCCAGATAACACGTATAGACAGGCAGATTTTTGACCTTGAGGAACATCAAAGGGCCAGAATAGCTGAACAGGAAGCACAAGAGAGGATAGTGGAAGAAGAGATGGAGCAGATCAGGTTTTGGGAAAACGAGTTACAATCAGAGGAAGGTTACGAGAAGGATTTGCAGCATCAGTTCCTCGAGATGAGAGCGAAGGCCGTGGAATGCAAGGCTAAACTGGAGGAGTACAAGTGCAAAATGCAGTGGCTTGATTTTTTCAGAGGTGCCGCTCAAGAAGATTCTGAGACGGCTTCAAAACTCAACTCAAATTGTGCCAGTGAAATTCACGCCGTCTCGGCCCAGGATGACAATCTGGAGCAATCCAGTGCAGATGGGAGTGTAAATGTCAACAGGAAGTTCTTGCCCAGAGAAGACACCAGCCATCCTCACGCTCTAGTTCATCCAAACCAAATAAAGGAGCGGCGGCCCACTGGACCCACCGAGCTAAGGGAGTGGTGGACACGCTGGTCAGAAGCCCATAGATCTCAATCACAGACTAAGAAGGTGATTCACCGCTCTGAGCTCACTATATATTTGAGCAGCACCAAGGTTTAGAATCAATGTCCTGGCGTTAAAAGACAATGATCCTTCACACTTTCCATTCCAAATTTATTACCAGTGCTTACTGCATGTTCTGGGCTGGGATAAAGCCCTTCAGCAAGTATTGAACTTTAATTGCTCCTCAGTTTATTTACCTTCAGTGGGTCCAAAATAATTAAACAGATCATTAAAAACTATTGTAAGAGAAAGGAGCTGATATTAAAAAGGAAGAGACCAGTTTAGTTTTCTTTCACATTTGACTTCCTCTGTATTTTAGCACATCTGAAGTGTTTTTCATACTTAAACCTGCTCTGGTGCACCAATGAATAATTATACTGACTTGGTCATAATATTCAAGCAAGCCAAACTGAAGACTGATTTGACGTGTAGGACTAGACTGAAAGCTTTAAGCTTCCTCTATGAATTTATCCTCACCATCAGCTGTCAGTGTATCCACACTGCATGACAATGTTGCTTTTGTTGCAACTGCTGTTTAACATCAAAATGCACATACCTTGTTACTCCTTGCCCTCAAGACAGTCTTAATATTGCACGTAGTTGGACTTTCCTACCAGCATCTTAAAATCTATACAGACACAACATTTACAGACTTAAATTTAGTGAAAAACATGGCTTTGTGGATCTTTGGTCATTCTTACTGGCAGATGTGGAAAATTGCAGTGATCAAGTTATTTTCCACTCACTACAGGGAACGTAGCACCACAAATACATCGATGTCTTATTCCTCCCTCATTTGTAGCCGTGTTGGTGTGACATCTTGACCATTTTCCCCCTCACATTTAAACTTCCCTCTTCATCAAATGCAACCGTTCTGAGATTTTACAGACATCACCAGGCTACAACAGCTGATAGTGGAATCAAAGACCGCACTGAATATAAAACATTGTTTATCAAATGTAGTTTTATTAACTGATTACTTATGCATGTCTTTCTCTCTCACAACTAGCCAATGTCAGACAAACTGCTCTATATAATAAAATGAACTTCACAAGCATTTATTTTGCTTTCAAGTTGTTTTATTCAGTCTCAAAGAACACCTACAGGCTTCCTCTGAAAAGAAAACAGTACAGCTCGTGAATTTCATAAAATTTTAATTCAATTGTTTCATTCAAGAACATTAACAAAAGTACATGAGAACCTCTGTACGCGGTTCAACTGAAACCCGGTGATCTCCAGAGAAATTAATTTTGACTGTAACTTAACGTGCAGAGGCACAACAGCTCATCTCCAGAGCGCACAAGCTGATCTCCTGATTTCTAATTCAGTTTTTCTTAAAAACTGAATTTCTAATACTTCACCCCTTTTCCTTTAAGTTACATTGGTTTTGTTATATTTGAAGTTTCCAAATTCCACTTTAAAAAAAAAAAAAAAAAAAAAGCAGCACACATTACGTATAGTATACGTCAACCCACAGGTTTGGGATGCATATCAGTATTTTTCCTACTTTAAGAGAAAGCCACCCTAAGATTGTTCTGAATATTTTGGCGGTTGGCTGGGATCAGAGGACACATCTAAATATTTTTTTTGTTTTGTTTTTGTTTATTTCGTTTTGCTTTCAGTTTTTAGGCACCTTATTCTTAATATTAGCAGATTAAGTTTCGATGGAGAAAAAAAAAAAAAAAAGAAAAAAAAATGTGCAAGAAACAAACAACAAACAAACAAAATGAAAAAAAAAAAAAAAGTATAAAAGAACTGCAGATATAAGATGCCACAAGGAATTCTGCACCTGGGAGGGGAGAGAGAAAAGAGGAAGAAAAAGAAATGCTGAAGTGGAGCATGTGAATACCAAAAAGGCATCAAAACTCCAGACTGGTGGAAGTAAATCCCATTAGATTAACTACTTTGACATTCACATATATCACACACGCGCCATGCTTCCACTTCAATAAAGCATTAAAAACTGCTCAAAAAAAACGAGCAGAGAAGAATCCTCGGTTTAAGCTTGCACATATGAGAAATATGATCCTCCTTATGGAGGGAGCTTTACTTTATGCGTTTTGTAGGAAAGCATACAGGAGTGGAAACCTGATAGCAAAGTTATTACGTTTCCATCGGTAAGGGAGCAAAAAGTAAGAACGAATATGGAGCTGAGGTTCAAACACATGCCAACAGTCACTCGCCCAGTCAAACTAGCGGACAGATTACAGGTGCAGAATTCCAGACAAACAAAATCAGGACGTAGACAGCCACACAGTCACCACTCTGACTTGGAGGGAACAAGCCCCTTAGAAACAAATACCTCCATTACACACTAATCAATTCTAGGATACATCATACGCACACACTCAGAGGTCCCCATGTACACTGCAGCGTGGAACTCTGTATCAAGTACATCATACATGGGAAGCAGGGAACTGTGGAATAAGAAAAGTTCCACTGCAGACTGGGGACAAAGATTACACATGCCAATTACTGTATGTGTGCGTATGTTTTGCGGATGAGTTTGTGTACAAGCATGTGTCAAATTAAATTCCCTTATCCCCTGCTGCTGCTCTCGGCGACAGCGTCCCTCCAACACCAAATGGGGGTAGGCCCTGTATTGCTCAGTCAATGACACCAGGCTGGCGAGTCTTCCGCTCCACATTGAAGCCCTGTAAAGACAGAATAAGTTTAATTATGATTAAAACAAAGGAAAGAAAAGTAGTAAGAAAAGAAGTTTTCAGGAAGGAAACTGTTAAACCCCTGAAATGCTCGCCAAGTGTCTTTTTTAGTCACTGTAGCAAATGATTTCATTATACTTCATTCTGATCAGTAACATGGATGGCTCCAAATTCATTTTAGCCAATGTCATTTCTAAAAGGCTATGCAAACTTACAGGTTAGCACAATTCATCAGATGTGGCACCATCTGATAATCTCATCATACCTTTGAATTGTCAGGACCACGAGGCTGCCTTACAATGACCAGGCGAGGAGCACTGGCATCATCAAGCGTGATACTCTTCAGTCTGTTCACCAGGCGGTCAGGACGTGGAGTCGCCACTGGTTTAGGCCCCTCACTGCAAGAGGAACACAATGAACAAACAATGTGAAGGCCCACTGCGTTAAACATACCAGCCACAGTCCAGTTCTAAATTTAAAGATCAAGTTCTTACCTGACTCTGCGCACATTGCAGGCACTACATTTTCCTGTGCGTTGATTGAGGACAACTGAGAACTCCACTTCATCCCCAGTCTGAAGCTCCAGACCATCTTGCACTTCTTTTACATGGAAGAATAACTTCTTGCTATCACCAACTTCGTATGTGATAAAGCCAAACTGGAGGGGGGAGGGGGGGGGGAAATTAATCACAATTTTGAGTTTTAAAGTATGACCACCTACTACCCAGTGTGTTTTTTGTTGTTTTAAATCATGCAATTGAGGAGAGGAAAAAACAAAAACTGAACACTACCTGGTCTTTAACACACTCCACCATGGCTCTACGCTGCGGAACCACATTACAGGCCATCTTCTGTCCAGTCTGGGTTATTGTGCAAACCTGGAACTTCACCTGTTCTCCTTTTTGCAAACAATCAGACTTGTTTGCCATACTCATGATTCCAAATGGATAATTCTGCACTTTTGATCCGCCTGAAAATTAAAGGGGGAGGAATCAATTTTACTTTCTACAAATAAACTGTTTAAATGTGTAGTCATAATGTGACACCAACCTTCCTCTGAGAACTCAACAAGCCCTTGGTATTCAGTCTGGGAGGGGTCAACACTGCGTATAGGACGGATAACTTTCCCTGTCATCACTGTCCCACCAACATCTTCACCAATTCCATTCACTATGACGGGAAAGCAGTGGATTTTATTTGCAATCATTCCTACCTACAAAATGCCAAACAAATGTACCAAAAACAACTGGAAGTGAGTCACTGATACCTGCAGCAACCTTGGTGACCTTTTCAGCACTGACTTTGTTTCCTTTTCCCTTTGAAAGATTGTATTCCACTGTGTCTCCCAGATCCAAGTTATCCAAGTCTCCGCACATTTCACTAAAAACAAAAGCATAAGTCTGAGAATTTGATACTAAAGCGAGTTATCTGGCATTAATAAATGAATACCCCAACCCAGAGGTGTGTTCAAACTTAAATCATTACCTGTAGTGAAAGAACACCTCCTGGTCATGATTTGCTGTCTCAATGAAACCAAAGTTATCTTTCAGTGCAGCAACAAATCCATGCAGTCTCTTGGCACCAGAGGCATTACGGTTGAGGACCCGGATGGAGACGGCACTCTGTTGGCCAGTTCGCTTCACTTCATTGATTGAGAACTCCACCTAGAGGACAAACACACAAGTTGCACGGGGAAAAAGAAAAAAAGCTTCAAGCTTTCAACAACTAAACTTCAAACCTTCAAAAGATGAATTGTAGCATCAACTGTTTGCTATGGAAAGATGCCTCCAAAAAGACTTTTTTCAACTGGACTAATTAGGCTAATTACAAAGTGGAAACCACATTTGCGCTCAAGCAAAATAAACAAGTGTTACTACCTTGTCCCCAACCTGTGGGTGACTTCCTCCCTCTAGGTCCTTGGCATGGTATGGCACAGTGAGCTTCACTCCACAGTCTTCATATGCTATCACTCCCTCCTCAGACTCCTACAATAAAAGCAACACATCAAACTTGGATCATCTTTCCAATTAAGACAGCGGTCCCCAACCTTTTTTGCGCCACGGACTGGTTTATGCCCGACAATATTTTCACGGACCAGCCTTTAAGGTGTCGCGGATAAATACAACAAAATAAAACTAGTACCGGTACCGAAAAAAAAAGAAGATTTATTCATAACACACGTGAAAACACCCAGGAAAACAGAGTTAACGATAAAAACAATAACAAAATAACATTGAAAACCGATAAAAACCATACACCTGAGCCTCAACTCTCGCAGTCCAGTACCAAACGACTCACGGACCGGTCCGAGGCCCGGGGGTTGGGAACCGCTGAATTAAGACTAGCAGTGATGGCCAAATGTCTCTGCAATCCTACATTTTACCAGCTTATGCTCATTTTGTTCATGTCTCCAATTTAAAAGAGAACAAGTCATTTATGACTAGTGTATTAGAAAATTCTGTGCACACAGCCCACATAAGCATTAAAGATAAATGTGTGCAATGCATCATGCTGTAGCAGCCTAGTTAGTAGTAGTAGTAGTAGTAGTAGTATTCTACTACAAGCAGTGTTGAGCTTTACCCTACAATTTAGGGCTGCATAATTATTCACTGCTCTAGTTTTAATTATTGAGAGCAGTGACTGCGTGAACCAATCACAGCATTAACTTTACTGGCTTTATAATGCTAGATATTTAATAATAAAAAACTAAAACACTGTTACTTGACTGAAAATGGCTCTTAATCCATCGTTTGCCATTTCAGTTACTGTATATCGTTTTGAATGCAAAACCAGTAGCGCTTAATTGAACTGTTAAAACACAAAATCAAAAATCTGGGTGTAGTTTACAATTATTAGGAAGAACCAAAAACTTGCTGCACACATTTTAAATACAACAGGCTGACAACCACTAAGAGGAGGACAACCCCCCCCAAAAAAAAACCAATAGCATTCGGATTACTTTTGTGCAGCCCTACAACAAAGTGAAGCCTCAATTCCAGATTCCATGGGTTAAATGATGATCAAACCTCACACTGTAAATTAATGAGGTGAAGGACACGAGAGGGTCAGAGGTTAACAAAGACTAACCTTTTCTACAACTTTACCCTTTAAAAGCAAGAGAAAGATTTATCAGACAGCAAGTCTCGGCACAACCACAACACTTCACTTGATCATTGGATTTCTAGACTTTACGTGACAAAAAGCTTCTTTAGATTATGTGTTAGTAAAACAAATTGCGACACTGATAGTTTGTACAACTGGAGTGTCTTTAATTGTGATGCACTTTCATGTAGCTTCATGCAGGTCTCAGTCCTACCTTATCTTTTTTCTAACCAACAAGGAGCATGAACAGGAAGTCATTGGAGGAAAGCAAAGAGGAACATTAGAACTAAAACAGTGTGAAAATAGGGATAGATGAGGGGGAAATGGGCTTCGAGGGTAGTGTCATAAATGGGGATGATTTAAGTTATAAGCTGTGTTACCTTCTCCTTGCCCTTGGTGGGACTGATGTTCTTGGCGGTGTTTCCAACAACTTCCTTTTCCACTACACCCACAAAACGTTGCTCAGACTGGATATGGAAAGACACTGTGCCTTTCGGAAGCTTCTTAATGCGCACTGCATGGTTTCTCTGAGCTGACAGCATATCCTGGCAGGGATGACATTTATATTAGTATTTTTACTTAAAAGTAACTTGAATGTGCCTGCTTAGGTAATAGAAAATACATACTTTTTTGAAAAGCTTATAAACAGGACCTACAGGCACAACAGTGAACTCCACTTCATCTGAGATATGAAGCTGGCCCTCCTCTAGGACTTCACTGAAGTGAAAGAACATCCTGGCATCCCGATCCACACACTTAATGAATCCAAAGCCATCGCGTATAGCTGCAATAACCCCCTAAAAGAATACATGATGATGCACCATAATCAACATCTGTGATGAATGTACTATAACATAATTAAAACCATTTATAGCTGCTGTTCTGCAAGCTACCATTTCACGATTCTCCTTGGTGAACTTGAAAGTGTCTGGCAAGATTTCGATGTTGGTAGCCCGCTCAAGCTTGTCTCGGCGATCAGTAGAGATGTTGAATTGTATGTGGTCTCCTTCCAAAAGAGTCACCTTGGTCTTTGTGTCCTTCTCGCCAAACGGCAGTTCCTTGTCATTGAAACCCATCCTTACACTGACACGACCAGGCAGAGGGTCATTCTGTGGAAACAAAGTTTACATATCTGTTAAAATTGTTTTAAATTCTTGGGTTGTAGTCCATGCTCCCTTTAACAACAACAAACTGTCTTCTACTAAATAAGGTTTATCAGAATCTCCTTGCCTGGTTCTTGGTGGGGACTTTGGGAATGACCTTTACAACGGTGCCTTCAAACTGCTCAATGCTGATATCCTCAAAGATGACGGTTCCTTGAGGGAGGAGCCTCACGTCTGTTGCTACTTCTTTACCCTATTGAAGGTTACAAATTAATCAAAGTCCTTTAAGAGTTACACAAAGACAGTCAAAAGTAGAGCTAAAGCTGAGTGATACATTTTCAAAACATTCTACTGAAATTCCTAAAAAGGTAGCACTCACATTTCTATCTTTGATGGTGAACTCCACATCATCTCCAGCCTGAAGAGCCTCTAGATCACCTTTGAACTCACTGTAGTGAAAGAAGATTTCCTTCACCACATCTGCTCTTTCAATGAATCCAAAGGCCTCCTGAAATTGAAAACAAGGTTCAGCATAACAGGTTGGTCCCGTTTCAATAGTTGAGCAATTGTAATAAAGCTTGGGAACGAATGAGGAGGGGAAAAAAGCCTGCCAAGGGCAAAATTAAGTTGTTTTTGTAACCACTGTTATATTCTACAAACATGACAAATCATGTATCTGACTAGACAGCATTGAGAGACAGAGACACACACACACACACGGCTGTTCGAGATGACGATATAAAAACATCTATCGTTTCATTTTACGCCATCGTTTGTTTCGTGGTGTCACAAAATAAACTGTTTACAGCAATATTTTTTCACCGTTTTGATGGTCACTGTAGTTGCTTTATTAATTTCTTAAAGTTCTTTCTCTTATCTTTTATATAACCACACTACGGACGGACAAGCGCCTGTTTTTATGCGTTGTGGTTAGCGACAACGACGGTAACACCAT